GGCATCCTGGCTGGTGTCAGCACTGGCGTGGCCAGCAGGGACAGGGCAGGGATCTGAGCCCTGGGCTGGGCACTGGGGAGGCCGCCCCTCACCCCAAAAAGGCCATTGAATGACTCGAGCGTGGCCAGAGAAGGGCAACGGAGCTGGGGCAGGGTCTGGAGCACAGGTCTGCTGGGGAGCGGCTGGGGGAACTGGGGGGGTTCAGTCTGGAGAAGAGGAGGCTGAGGGGAGACCTCCTGGCCCTCGGCAACTCCCTGCCAGGAGGGGGCAGAGAGGGGGGATGAGTCTCTTTAACCAAGTAATAAGCAATAGGACAAGAGGTAATGGCCTCAAATTGCACAAGGGATTGTTTAGACTAGATATTCGGAAGGATTTCTTTGCAGAAGGGGTTGTTGGGCGTTGGAATGAGCTGCCCAGGGAGGTGATGGAGTCCCCATCCCTGGAGAGGTTGAAGAGTAGAGTCGACGTAGCACTGAGGGATCTGGTGTAGTTGGGAACTGTCAGTGCTGGGTTAATGGTTGGGCTGGATGATCTTCAAGGTCTTTTCCATTCTAGACGGTTCTGTGACTGTGAGGGTAGTAGAGGGGCTGCAAGGAGGTGGGGGTGAGGGACTGTGGGGCTGCCAGGGAGTGAGGGGCTGAGGGTTGTGAGGTGCTGCCAGGCTGTGATGGAAGTGGGGGGCTGAGGGAGTGGCTGCATAGTCGTGAGGAGAGTGGGGAACTGCCTGGCTGTGAGGGAAGTGGGAGGCTGCAAGGAAGTGGGGAGCTGCGGGAGTGAGTGGTTGTGTAGTTGTGAGGAGTGTGGGGAGCTGAGGGAGTGGGGGACTGCATGGCCAGGAGGGGTGTGAAGGAGTGCCAGGCCCTAAGGGGCTGCCTGACTGTGAGGAGTGCGGGAGGGTGTGAGGGGGTATGGCGTGCGAAGGGATGCACATCTATTAGGGGTGTGGGGCAGTGATGGGGTGTATGGCTGTTAGAGGTGTGGGGCAGCTGGAGGGGTGCAGGAGCAATGGGGTGAGGCAGGGGAGCCTGTGCATCGTGGGGAGCCTGTGCAGGGCCAGCGCTGGTTCAGGCAGTGGAAGTCTGTCAGTCGTGCTCTGTGTGTTGAGGTGACATAGTGCTGGATTACGAGGGGTGTGTGTGACAAATAGGACACTGGTGTGTGAGCCAGTGCAGGCAGGACACACAAACAACCACAAAACCACAGATAAAATGCAAAGAGTAAATTTATCCCCGTTATCTTTGACCTGGCGGATCTCCACAGCAGCACCTGGGCAGAGGCACGCTAGCAGGGACTCAGGTCCTTGAGAGTCCGGAAAAGGAGATTAAAAAAGGTCTTGGGCTTGCTGCTTTTACCTGTATGTACCTAGGATTTTCACAGGCGTACTTCTCCACTGTCCTTTGATCTTTCCCACAGCAGAGCAGGAATCTCAAGGACGAGGTGCCTGTGAGTTTCTCACAGGCCTGTGTTATCGAAGTGCAGACATTCTACTCACCAAGCGTGCAGAGCTAAACAACAATTAGTGTGATATATGTGTTTTTCAGCACCCCAGCTGCAAGTCACTTGAGCGTGTTTACGCTCCTTCTTGCCAATCTTCTGTTGTATTCCTGCAATATTTTATACTTTGATGCAGTCTAGGCAGTGATTCCCATCGTAAGATCTGTTTAATCTTCATCCGTGTTTCTGACTGTTGTGGTGGTTTGGGTTAAGGTGAGGTGTGAGTATTTAGAACAAAATGCTTCTTAAGCAAAGAGGTGCTATTCTGCTGCAGCTGACCCGTAGTGAGGTAACATAAATGGGTTACACTCTATCCGCATCTCAATAAACTGCCATTTGAGCTTCCATGAGATGTCAGCAGATCTCTGAAAATGTAAAGTTTGTGACTGAAGAAAACCTTAAAAGCTTATGAGCAATACCTAAGCAGTGGTGTAATATATTGCATTGACCTGACTTGTAATTTGCACCAAGTATTTTGCAACTAAAGCACTTGTGCAACAGTATACAGTGTGCGTTAGTTGAATACCGAAAAACTGGAGAAATTTTTACACATAATTTTACTCTAAAATATTTCTAGTTGCTGCTTGGATGATGCCATGCAGAGCTATGTTGGGTGATTTCAGGGGTCTGACCTCGTTTTGCTTTGTTCTTCCATCCCTCGTTCCTCGGAGAGCATTCTTTTTGGAGCCAAACTTGTAGCAAGACTGAAGGACCAAATCCAGGCTCAGATGGAGTTTGCATGTTGGAATCCAGTCACATACCCTCTGCCATCTCCCGCTAGTCCTGTAGCTCTCTGAGGGGACGTCAGCGCTCCAGCCCTTGCCAGTAGTTTCCTAGCTGTCTAGAGTTCTGGGGTCCTATCTGCTGCTCCGATGGGGTGAGGAGCTTGGTGTCTGATCAGGATCCTCAGACGGGCTCTGGAGGCCAAGGGTGGCTTTTGGATCGTGTGCTCAGACAGTGTTGACTTCAGCACAAAAGGCAGCGGCCACGGCCGCTTTTCTGTAACCGTAGAAGAGGTTGGGAAGGGAGAGGAATGTTGGGTGGTTCATTTAACCTTTGCGAGACTCATTTCCTGAGTAAGACCTTTCTGAAGAGCCCGTGTTATCTTTTCCCATCACGCATTACTCTGATCTGGTCCCTAGCTGTTACTAGTGTCTACTTGTTCTCTGGTTGGCAGCAGCGTGGGCACTGAAGGGATTCAGGCAGATTTTTGTCTGACCTTGACAGCTGTGTGCTAGTTCTAGATGCACCATTGCTGCCACCAGTTTGTCCCTCTGTGGTTGCCAGGAGGTGATTTAGAGGAGTTATCCTTAACGGGAGGAGCTCTGACTTGGCTCCCTGGTGTTCTTCCTCACCTTCCCTGAGTTGCTGAGAGAGGCAGGTGAAACCATGAGGGTCAGGCTCTTCCTCTGAAGACCCCTCTGGACTGAAACCCTCCCCACTAACTGCAGGGAGGCTCATCAGCATTTGTGACAGCCCGATGCGATCACCTTTAATGAGTTATCTAGTAATTGGCACCCGCTTAGAAAGTAGAAGAGCCAGATTCAATATAACCTTTGTGCTAAAGGTCTCCGGTGTAAAAAGACTGTGTTAATATAACCATTTGGGTAAATAAAGGTCACTCTCCTGTTCTGTTGTTGGGGTGATTGCACTGTCCAGGCAAGAGTGCAGAATCTGCGGTGCCAAAAATCAGGAGTTTTGTAAACATTTTTTTTTTTTCTTATTTGAAGTCATTATTAAGGATATTCTGTGTGGATCTCAGAGAGCAGTATTAAAAATGATTCCTGTTTTATGGCACTTACTGCCACTGGTATTTGGATATTTTGCAAGAACAAGAAATTAAGATGCAGAAGTGGTTCAGCCAGCAGAGATCAGAATCCAAGATTCCCCTCTTTCATCTTCACAGCTGCCCGTTATGGCACTCGGTTAAAGTAGAGGTGATGGTGAATCCACTCAGACTGTGGATTTCCTCATTTGGGCTGCCCACCAAAACATCTGGCGAGACAGCCTTCATTCCTAAATTGTTGAATAATCACTATTTATTTTTCTTCCTTCTTGCTACTATGAGCAATAATTCAGTATTTGTAGTCAAAAATAATAGCAAAATTGCTTTCTCGTAGCTTCTGGCTGTTTCTTGGGTCAGAACCCATCTTCTTTTTAATTTAGGACTAAAAGAGATTTTTGTTTTTAAGTGGACCAAGTAATTTTTTCACTTTCATGAAATTCAGCAATGATCGGGTTGTGGGGAACAACTGAAATAGTAGACTCTATGTGTAACTTCTCTGTGTATGTTCCTGCAACTTTGTGGACATTGCCAACATGTACCAATTAAAAAAAAAACCCACAAAAAACAAACCAACCCAAACAACCAAACTAAACAAAAACAAACCACCACAACACTTTAAAATAAGAGTCTGTGGAAAACTGATGGGTTGTAAAGTAAAATAAGTCAGTGAGACTGTAGTGAAAGTTCCTTCTCCTTTTTGTTGTAGAATTATTGTGATATTACTGTAATTCTTTTTAATGTAGTTGTCTCTGTCATTCTTGAGTTTGTCTGGGGAAGAATTTAACCCTAAGAGTAATGAGAACTTGTGTAACCACTCTGTACCGTTAGAATAATGAACAAATCGGTTGTGTTCATGTGAACATTTTTAGCCATCTGTATTGTATTTTCAGCTCTCCATTTAGTTACGTGTCATTGTAAATTAGTGGCTCTGTGATGCCATGAGGTGTAAGCAAGTGCATTAAAATCATGCTGCTTCAGAGGATTCTTTTTGCATGAAGGAAATGACTTTTTTAAAAAAAAAAAAGCTTTTAAATACAGAGATATCAGCGGCTGGAGTCTTGTTAATTTTTAGATATATGTATTTACTGCACAAATAAAATAGCAGATGAGTTTTACTGGAGTAGCTGTGCAGAACTAGTCTAGGCATGTTGCTCAAAAATCCATAGCAAGAAAATGATTGCATAGACCCCGTTGGGGGAAATACAGGCTGATTAATGCGTTTATATCAATTACTACAAGTGTTTTGCTCACCAGAGGAAACAGTATCTTGCATATCTAAAAGGAGCCCTATTAGTAGAAGAAATGTTTCTTTAGCTTTGTGTTGTATCTCAGAGAACAAATCCAAGGCAGAAGTAAATGTGAAAATACGCAAGTAACAAAAACATACTTGAGGTGTGTGCGCACTGTCTGTAGAATGATTGCTTTTTAATTTTTATTATTTCCCTCTTCAAAAATCTGCTCTGAAGTCCCCAGTGACCACAATAAGAAAAATGCTGTGTTTTGGAAGGAGGTGGAGAGGATAACTGTTTTAATAGCTGCCTTCAGAAACTTTATGACTTTAGTCTATAAGCATATCTCTTAACTTCTCTTTTTAAGATTAAATTCTTAAGAATTCAATGGTCAGGTTTCATGAGCAACTGCATTACAGTCTGGTGGGGGGGGTGTGTGTGTGCATGAGACAAAGGCAGGAATATACAGATCAAGGGAAGAGATTAATGAATTTGCTGGGCAGGTGTTAAGTGATGAGCAAAAGGAAAAAAAAATTAAAAAAAGATTTGATGATATGTTACAACGGAAGGTGTACAGAACTTTTCTTAGCCTCACATAAAGAGCAGGGCTGGCTGCACTCCAACTTTGAGTATGGTTTGAAATTGCAGGGGATTTTGTTTTATCTTAAAACTAGCTAATTCTTTTGCTTACATGCAGATGTCAAAGATGGGTAGAGAACTGTCGAAGGGCAGATTTAGAAGATAAAACTCCAGATCAACTCAACAAGCATTACAGATTGTGCGCTAAACATTTTGAGACTTCTATGATATGTAGAAGTGTAAGTAAACCCAAGCATTTGTTTATTGCGTCTTGAAAAGTGTGACAAATGTTTTTCATCAGAGTGCTGAATTGTCATCTGTGATTCCCCTGGGAAAATTAATCTCTTAGTCTTAATTGAGATCATTGCCATGGTCCAGGGCACTGCACAGGCTCACAGATGTTGGCACAAAGGATGAGATGGAAATGAGCAGTTGGGGAAGAGAAAAGCAGAGCTGCTCCTGCTGGTTTAATATGTTTGTGGGAGTGCTGGTCTTCACTGCAGTTCTCTCCTCAGGCAAAGCAATGCTCATTTTGTTTAGTGTCACTAGATGTTACTACATTATATAAATTTATTGGGTGTAAGTATGTAAGTTTGCATACCTCTCATTACTTAAAATCATTAATGTTCTGTTACTGAAGCGTATGCGTGGTGTGATTTGGTTACATTACACTCTATTGTGGCCAAGAGATTTAAACGTTCTTTGCATCTGTCAAGCTTTTGGTTCCTGTTATATTTTATCCAGCTAAAATCTTGGCATTGTTTCCTGTTAATAAAATAATAGCTTTCAATTCTTCTTGTTAACAAGATAATGTTGCTTCTAGCAGCTTACATAACAGCAGGAAACGTGGACTTGGGGTTTTGTATCAGGTTTTAATTTCTAGGCTGAATTTCACTCTGCTACATAGGCAAAATCAGTCCTTTAGTTACAAGGGATAATTAAAATGTGCAGGTCAGACTCTGAGCTCCTGGTGGTATCACACGTTTCAAGGTATTTCATTAGCCGGCATCCCCGAAATACTGGGATGAATACTGGGAGTAATTCTGAATCTGAAATGAAACATCATGAAACTTGGTTTGTTTAATTTTAATTTATACTTCAATTTAGTGACAGGTATAAACATCATCAGTTAACCTTCTGTACTTACTGGAAATTAGCCAGTTTAGGCAACATAAGTTTACAGTATAAACTTATATAAAATTTTACTTGAAGTATTTTTATTTAACTGTATAAAATATATTTTATACTGTACATTTATATTTTATAAAATTTTACTTAAAATATTTTTATTTACTGCTAGAAGCATTGACATGACCATCTAGAAATCTTTTCTTCCTCCCGCACATTTGACAGATAAATTTTCATTCCGTATGGTCTTTCACAGTAGTGGTTTTTGGAATTCATAAGTCTGCATAAAGAAGCGGTTCAACATTTTTGCAATGAAAATGTTTCTGTGATTGTTTCTAGAATTCTGAAACAAGTGATAAAAAACCCAGCACAATAGTAACAAAACGTTTCCTTTCTGATGCATAAATGTGTTTCTATCCAGAATGTTTATTTATAAAAAACCATAATACTGCAGTAAATTAAAATTATGGCATCTGGGGTCTTTGATGTGAAGATAATGGGGAGGAAGACGTATTTGTGGTTTGGGTTGCGGTTTTCTTTAGTATCTGTCCTCTCTTTTTCAATGTTATCTTGATATCCCTGAAATGTGAATTGCATATCTTAGCTTTCTGTTTGTTTTGAAACATCAGAAAGTGAAAATACTTCATAAAAAAAGAGAATGACTTGGCATCTGAAATTCTGGAGTTTCTTCGTGCACACACAGTGAGATTTTCCCAAAGAAATCCCTAATCTAGATGTCTGTCTTCTTACAGAGCCCTTACAGAACAGTTTTACGGGATAATGCTGTGCCAACGATATTTGATCTTACAAGTCACTTGAACAATCCCCACAGCAGACATAGAAAAAGGATAAAAGAATTGGTAAGTTTTTCATGTACGTTTGTGGGGTTTTTTAATCTTAAAACAGTAAAGGCAAGTAAGTTCATGTGAAACTTTTAGATGTCAAATAATATTTAGCACTCGAGTGTTTGCATTTTCTGTATTGCCTATTCTAGTATCTTTTTGTTGATTATAAGTTAAATGCCCACGTGTTCTGCTGATATAGATTTTATTTGCTAAAAAAGGTTTAAGGAAATAATCTGGAAAATGAAATTTGTTGAACCAGAGCTGATTCTGTCTTCCAAAGAAATTACATAGCTTCCTTTTCCTTTGTATTTTGTTAGCACTGTAATAAGAACTTATACATGGTACCCTGAAATTCTTCCTGCATATTGATTGTGATCTTCGGTTCACCTGTTTAATTTCTGAAGTCTGCACCCCTTCAGACATGCTTATTTTAGCTTATTCTGAAAAGATGATCTATGTATAAAACCAAGATCAAGAAGTTTTTTGTGGAATTGTCTTGTCGATTATGTTTTGTGTCACAGAAGAAGTGTCTCTAGGTCTCTGTGGTTGTAAGTATACTGACAATTAAGAGGAGTTGAACTCCTAAACTGCTTTTATATTGGAAAATTACAGACAATTTCTAAATATTTCTTTATGAGTTCGCCTGTTTATTGACTGAAAATAGAGTTAACGACTGTTCTGTCTACTGACAATACAATTCCATATTAAAACAAAATTCTTTAATGGAATTGACTTGCTTATAAAATACATACTGAACAAACTCCTAATACATGTACAGGAACCTCAGCAGCAGTATCAAACTGTTCTCATGTAGTTAGTGGGTATGTGTCACGACAGCAGTAAACTACCTGAAGAAACCCCCTCCTCTTGGACATTCTCCCACTTTTTGGTAAATATTAACACTCTTAAAATGTTCTCGACTACAATATTTGTACCTGATCTTGGTGTTTATTAATATTTTATGGTCATGTGCTAGATGTTATTTTTTTTTTTTTTTTTTTTTTTTTAAAGAGTGAAGATGAAATAAGAACACTGAAGCAACAAAAGAGTAAGTGGGCAAAATAATTGAGTTCATAAAAACTTCATTTACTCAGGGTGACAAGATAATACATGACACGTAACTGTAAGTTTAGATATCTGAGGAGGATAATTGAGTTGCTGCTTGATTCAAACAGCCAGTTTAAACTCTTTCCGAATTACTCATTCACTTTTACACTGGAAACATTCTTCTCTGGACCCCAGTAACTTAAAGGTAATGAGGATAGTAAGGGGAAGCAAATGTTATGTTTTAGTCACGTTTTCTTGACACTGACAGTATTTTACATTTTGTAGTTGAGGAAGCTTTTGAACGGGAACAGGCAACTCAAGAACTGAATGAAAGCAATGAACGAAATACTGTCTCAGAGGAAGGAGGGGAAGAACAAGAGGAAGAAGCAGTCCCCTTAACACTGGAGGAAAGAGAAAACAAAGATTACCTTAAATCTCTCTTCGAAATTTTGATCCTGATGGGGAAACAAAATATTCCTTTGGATGGCCATAGTGTTGTTGAGCTTCCAGAAGGTATTTTTACTTCAGACAACTTTCAGGCTCTACTGGAATATAGAATAAATGCTGGAGATGAAGTTCTGAGGAAACGATTTGAGATGACTGCAGTCAACCTTGAGTACTGTTCAAAAACTCAGCAGAAACAAATGCTTGAGATCTGTGAAAGCTGTGTTAGAGAGGAGACGCTGAGGGAAGTAAGAGACTCGCACTTCTTTTCTATTGTCACTGATGAAGTAGTAGACATAGCAGGAGAGGAGCATTTGCCGGTGTTGGTGAGATTTGTTGATGATTCTCATAATCTGAGAGAAGAATTCATAGGGTTTTTACCGTATGAGGCTGATCCTGAAATTCTAGCTGTTAAATTCCACACAACTATTACTGAAAAGTGGGGTCTAAACATGGAGTACTGTCGAGGTCAAGCCTACATTGTCTCCAGTGGGTTTGCTTCTAAAATGAAAGTTGTGGCTACAAGACTCTTGGAAAAGTATCCCCAAGCTGTGTATACGCTGTGTTCCTCTTGTGCCTTAAACGTTTGGCTGGCAAAATCTGTCCCTGTTGTTGGTGTTTCTATTGCATTAGGAACAATCGAAGAAGTCTGCTGTCTTTTTAATCAGTCTCCGCAATTACAAGAAGAACTGGACAACATGATTTCTGTCCTTTTTCAGAACAATAAGGAGAAGGCTAGCGAGCTGAAGGAGATCTGCCGTTCTCAGTGGACAGGCAGGCATGATACTTTTGAGGTTTTAGTGGACCTCATGCAAGCGTTGGTCCTATGCTTGGATGCGGTAAGCAGCGACTCATCTGTCAGGTGGAACAACTTTATTGCTGGTCGAGCATTTGTTCTTTCAAGTGCATTAACAGATTTTGACTTCATTGTCACCATTGTAATTCTGAAAAATGTGCTGTCTTTTACAAGAGCATTTGGAAAAAATCTCCAAGGACAAACATCAGATGTGTTCTTTGCAGCTGGCAGCTTAACAGCAGTGTTGCATTCTCTGAATGAAGTGATGGAGAATATTGAAGTTTACCATGAATTTTGGTTTGAGGAAGCAACAAATTTGGCTACAAAACTGGATGTACAAATTAAACTCCCAGGAAAATTTCGCAGGGCACAGCAGGGGAACTTGGATTCTGAGGTAACGTCAGAAAACTACTACAAAGAAATCCTTAGTGTCCCCACAGTGGAGCATATAATTCAAGAATTAAAAGATATATTCTCAGAACAACATTTAAAAGCTCTTAAGTGTTTATCATTGGTGCCCTCAGTCATGGGGCAACTCAAATTCAATACATCTGAGGAGCATCACGCTGACATGTATAAAAATGACTTGCCTAATCCAGACACGCTTTCTGCTGAGCTTCATTGTTGGAGAATAAAGTGGAAGCACAGAGGAAAAGATATTGAACTTCCAGCTACTATTTATGAAGCACTTCACTTGCCCGACATAAAGTTTTTCCCTAATGTTTATGCCTTGCTTAAAGTCTTGTGCATACTTCCAGTGATGAAGGTGGAGAATGAAAAATATGAAATTGGACGAAAGCGCTTAAAAGCATACCTGAAAAACACCTTGACAGAGCAAAGGTCAAGCAACCTAGCTCTGCTGAACATAAACTTTGATATAAAACATGACCTAGATTTAATGGTGGACACCTACATTAAACTCTATCCAGGTAAAGTGGAATTTCAAGAGGACTTTATTCCTTCAAACAACTCCGAAGTAACAGAAGATGCTTAATTTTGTTAAGCTCTAACCAATCTGTTGAAACAGGTTTTTTTCTTATGCAGGTTTCAACGCTGAGGAAAAAAAAAACTGTGAAATCTAAAAAATGACTGCGATTTTATTTCTATTTTAGGTCTCAGACTGAAGAAGCTGTGGTCAGCAACCCAAATTATGTTTTGTTAGTCTGCATTAAATGTGTTACGCGAACAAAACCAGGCCTGAAAAGAAGCTCGTGCTCTTGGCAGAGGTGCTTGTATGTCTGATTGACTTTAGGTGCTCACTTATTTTATGGCATCTTGGAAAAAAGTACATTGTGATTGTAGATCTGATGGGGCTGTTACGTATTCGCTCATGAATTAAGATAAGAAAAAGCATCAAATGTTAAAGAGATTATAATGAATTTTGGTTCTGTTACATAGGGTTTTATTCTTTTTGAAAACTTTAAAAAAAAAAAAAAAAAGTATTTGATGTATATTTAATTGGCATTTTGGAGAGTGCACTCGGCTATTGCACGATCCCGGTGCTGTGGACTGTTCTAGGTGTAAAGTGAATGTTAGTGATCCAGAGGTACGTTTACAGTTTCATGAAAGAGTCAGCCTCTTTAATCTCTCAGTGACTGTTTACATTCCTTTGTGTGAGACACAACTTTTTTTTTTCCCTTTAGGCTTTTAACAAGCATGGCAGTAATACTGAAGTTCTTAAAAGACACTAAAATCTTAAAATTTATTTCGCAAACAGTTAAATCTGTTCTATCCTGACTCTGACAAAATCCCATGCATCTTATTGTCTATTTGTAAACTCATGCAGGAAGGATTAAAATAAGAGTTTGTTTGTCTAGAAGCAAGATTGCAAATATCGCTGTTATTTTTGGCAAGAATGAAAACATTTTTGTACAGTTTATTGCAATTTAAAATAAAATGTGAATTGCTTTTTACATAGCATTGAATTTTGTAGTAAAGCTGTGCCTCTCTCAGAGTGTGTATTCTTTTGCAAGGTACCTTTTAGTTTTGACAATTTTTTTCTCTGTTGTTTTGGCAATTCTAGTGAGTGACATTGTCTTAAGACCTGGGAAACTGTGTAATAGCACTTCTGATCTGTATGTTCTGCTGAAGTTGGTTTTTTTTTTTAAGTATTTTGAGACAGCACTAAATACAGTGCTTTTAGTTGTGGAAGGTTCTAACTGAAACAGGTGGAAATAGATGAAATTTTGAATGGTTGAAAAGTCTTGCAGCTCTCCTGATGCATGCCAGTTTTATAACTTGTCCTTTTATGTACAGTTGCTGTGGGAAAGGCCCCCAGCAACAGAAAATTGAATAGAGACTGTGATAAATACAGCTCTTATTTTTTGACTGCATTAAAACATTAAGAATGAATTTGAAAAAAAAAAAAGCCAATCTTTTAGTAAGTAAGTGTAGATATTAAAGTGGCTATGTATATTTTAAGAAACGTTTTCAGGGTATTTTATTTACATTGAAGTAGTAAAAATTCAAAAAGTATTATCTTTGTTACTTGTGTATGCTTTCTGGCATGCTTTCATATTCGAGCAATTGTTACCTCAATCAGTAAAGTGTTTTGGCTAATAGCTTGCTCTGTTCCTCTGAATATATGACAATAGCCCAAATCTGTGTTAACGCTATTAGAAGAAAAAAAAAAAAAAAGGCATTTTAAAATTAGATGTCATATGGAAAATTGTCCTTTTTAAAGAAGATCTCAATTACAATTTTAATAAAATATATTTAAAAAAATCTTTCCCATCCTGGGAATGTCTGTGAGTTCCCCTGTTAAAGACAGCAACGCGAGGTGGTCGTGTCCTCTGAGATTGTGAGTCCTCTCTCACTGAAGTCAGGCTGGGGCAGCCCAGGCTTACAGGCATAATCAGAGAAGGAAAACCAGCACCCAGGAAGGAAAACCAGCCATATAATTGGCCAAAGGAGCTGAAGACTGCTTGTTGACTGTATAAATGAGAATTCTTGACCGATGTGTTGAGGCAAATTGAAAGGAAATGCAGTAAAACATTCCTTTAGCTACTGGAGCTCAGCTGAGACATACGGCTGTGACTAGTGTTGCTAATTAGCTGGCTCCAAGAGCCTTGATGGTTTGGTGTGCTTGATCCTTGCGCTGCTTTTCACAGAGATGCTGAGATTGTCTGTAATCACTCAGAAGCTCCTTATTTAGCCTGTTTGAATTGCCCTGTTGAGGAATGCCTCATTTTTTAGGCACATCAGTGGGTCACTTAGGAACCCGTAGCAGGTAGCGTGCCTGGTGATGGCTTGGCAGGATGCGGAGGAGCAAAGGAGTAGCAGGTTGAAATGATGGGCGCCCCTTTAACTTAAAAGATTTGTGTGGAGAAAAAACTGTTTACCGAAACTATAGTGCCTCCCATCTTATTTCTGGGGGCGCAGAGAAAGGATGCGACTCAAGTGGAATGCAGTAATACTGTTTTAAAGAGTGACAGAGAAGTTGACAGAGAAGTGTCTGAAAATGGGACAAATAATCCCTAAAGTTAAACTTGGATTCCAATTTTTTAAAACAAATTCTTGGGACAGAGTGAATTACCATCTTAACTATCCTGGCAATTCAGGGCAGTATGTATTTCCAAGGTGTATCTGAGGTACTTACTTTGCTTTGACCCGGCTTTTTGGCACATTCTATGTAATGAAGCAATATGTCTTATTTAAGTATCACTGCTGAGATATAAATAATTCTCATGCAGGTGGCTTTTCCTTAGCTGCTCAGCTGGTTGCGTTCTGTGAAAGCAGTGCTTGCCTTAATACACAAACTCGGTTTCCTTTTCCCATGCCCGGAGCTCCTGTTAGAAATCACTACTGCTTTTCCAAAAAGTGGCATGTAGCACTCGCTCTCCTGTGGTTTTATTTCTGTCACTGGCTGCAGAAATCCTGTGACTGCTTCTTTGCCTGCCAGGATCTGCTGTACAGAAGCAGAGGACCAGAACCACTTAATGATTCTGGGTGCAGCTCTCCCGTTCCCCCCCCCCATGCTCTGTTTCTGTGCACCACTGCAAATCTCGAAGAGTTGCCAGAAACATTCCAATTACTCTGAGAAGATGAAAATCAATCTGTCCTGTGACAACTCTTTACTAAAAGATACTTAGCAGTACTGATTTTACATTTAAAACCAGCCAGGACTGGAGGCAGTTCAGCACATCTGCCAGTAGTTTCAGGGGTCTCATGGCATCGCTCACTGAGCTTGACTACAGAGTCTGGTTATCTGTGCTGGTCTGTAGTTAGAGCTGAGACTACACTCAACTGCTAGGGCCTGAAAATTTAAGTTTCTGTCACCTCTTCAGACAGCAAATGTCTTGAGGATCAGAGGACAGGGCTGTGTTTACTTGCTCCTGGAAGAAGCTCTAGAAGGTCTACTCAGCTGTGACAACACCTGGCAAGGCCCACAAGCCTCAGTGGGGTTTTCTAGCAGGTGGATTCTGGCAACTAAGAGACTTCAGCGTCTACTGTCAACAGGACATGGTGTTTGAGGGGAAAAACTTAGCACCATCACTTTCCTTTTTTTGTTCTTCCTCACTCCCAGAGCAGAACTTCAGGCTTTGTGGCTGTTTTCTAGTGAAGCACCAGGGCACTTCTAGTTAGCACCTCCTAACTTGGCGAAGGAAAGAAGTTTATGAACCATTGGGAAGGAGGGTCATGGGTTTGTGTCATGAGGGGAGCAGGAGAGAGGTGGGAGATACATGAGAGAGCTGGCCAAGGGCAACAGTTTGTTGATAGTGTGATGCTCCAAGCCTGTGTAATATATAAGCCCAGAGCTAAGCCCAGATGGGTCCCGGTCATCTCCTCCATCCCCATCCACCAGCCTGTGGTGGTTTTGGGCTGAGCAGATGCGGGCTGGAGGGCTTTGTGCTGCTGACAGAAGGGTTACCTGCCACAGAGTGTGGAGGAGAAGCAGTCTGTGAGGGGCTGACAGCACTGGGGACCTTGGACCTGACTCTGTCCGTGCGGGTCCGCCATCGCGCACGCAGCCAACTAAAGGCACACTTGACCTCCTTCCTAAGCTGGAGGACTTAACACGTTGAAAGTGAATCATCTGTTTTATTAAATCAGAGGCCACTTCCAAGGACCGCAGCCCAGTTATGCCACATGTTGTACATATCATGGAGAAATAGGATCCATATGGGCAGATCCTTACTGGTGAGCACGTCCCGCTGAAGAACAGCCTCGGGTATCTGCCTGCAGGGATCAGGCTTAGCAGGATTCAGGCCTTAACTCTTAATTTATAGTGTTGAACAGCTCTCAAGAAGAGGGAGGGATCTGTAGGAGGTATGGTACAAAGTGGATGGTGCTGTGACATGCGTTTCCCCCCTAAGGAGTGAGGCTTGCTGCCTTCGCCTTGGTGAGGCTCTGTGCTTCAGGAATAAGCAGAAATATCACGGTCTGGCCTGAATTCCTCCCTGGAGGAAAGAGACAGATGATATCATTGTTGGAGTTGTTTGGACATCATAAAGGTACTTATTGAAATGAGAAAAATATGGTTTTAATTCCTTTTTTAATAATGAAAAAAGCAACGGAAAGCTATGAGCGCCAGGAACCTCACTGAGCAAAGAGTCTTTGCACCCTGGAGGACTTTTTTTTGGCTAAATGAATAAGCACTTCTAGGTCACTTTTTGGTTCATCTTTTGTGTGTGTATATAAGTATATAGAGTATGCAAAGCCAGATGAAGTTACTTGTTTGTCTTGCAGATGTCACCTTTGCTGAGCAATGCTTTGATTAAGAAGCAGCACGCCCAGCGTAAAAGGCACACGGCTTGTTTCTGGGAGACTCTCCACACCGTACACAGCTCCTCCTGAACCCTGTACCCTAAGATCCGAGTGCACAACTGTTAAATTCGCAAAATACATAAGCCTAAGCACATGCTAATTATTAGGTAGTTTCCACTCCACTCTGAAAAGATTAAGTGGAAGTATGCAACTGAGCATTGACTTTAAGACTTTCCAAGTTCACCGCACAGAACTGCACCTTCCAAATCAATGTCGTGCATAAGGCAGGGTACCCTGTTCAGTGTCTGCAGAGACAGCAGAAAGCTTGAAGGAATTACTGCTTGGCAGGTGAGCAGACCTCTCTCTGTTTCGCTGTTCTTTTAAACTTTAATCCCCCTAAGCGTATCGTCGGTGCAGAAGATGTGTTTATTGAGAAACCTGTGGCTTCGGTGTGGATTTTGGCATATGCAGAGGCACCCTTCTGCGTTATTATAAAAGCTGGATTTGGAAAGTGCTTGTAATACATACAATTTAACATCAGGTATTCCTGTATTTTCCAGACTATTTCACGTTCTTATTCTAACAACAGGGGATAACGGAACAGATTCGCAACTCTAATCCTGACTCTTTACACCTTTCAGGCAGGACAATACAGCTAGAGAGCCCGGATGCAATTTTCCATCCGAGAGTGCACCGTTGCTCCTGGGAAACCCTTCAAGGGGGAGAAAAAAAAAATGCTGATGCAGCCATTTTTTGCACTATTTGCTTCTCCAAGGTATGGATAAGCTACTGCACACCTTGCTGCTACAACGCCCCTTCAGGGCTCACTACCTTTTTTCTCCCAGCACTGATAGGCAAAGAGCTGCAAGGAGGACAGCTCTTTCCAAGGCTAGATGCTATTTTTCTGCCCTTGTATGGCCTGTGGTTTTGTGCCTAGCTTGCTGTCCTCTAAAAGTCATGCTCTTCAAAGGTCGTTGTTCTTGGATACTTGTGTTTTATATTTCTCAACTGGAGATGGATGGAAATGCTGTGGGTTTTAGAAAGTGTTTAGCATTACCCAGCTCTGGAAAGGAGCTTTAAAGTGGTGTCAAGCTGGGCATGCACAAGTTAAAGGCAGGAAAATGCCAAGATTTTGAAAATCTCCGTTCAGGAACAAAATTGAGCATCTGAGTAGAGCACTGGGGCTGTATTTGTTTAACTACCTTGGCATTACCTTGCACTCCCCAGCTGGCTTTCAGTAGATACTGTGACAATGAAATCTTTCTAAACAGTTTAAAAATTGGCCTTTTTGAATACATCCCCTCATTTTAATTGTGATTTGGAGAATAGAAAAACCCCATTGTATTCCATTTCTGCTATTACATATTACACATATTTCTTCTACTTTACTCCATTTACTTCCCCCTGTGCAAATTCAGGCCTATAGTTTTTTTTTTTTTTTTTTTTTTTTGCTCATGAAGTTGCATTCTCTTCTCAATTCCAGTTTACATTAGACATTACTTCTGCCCTTTACAAGACTCTCTTCTATTCTGACCAGACACATTGCAAGATGTATCAGGTTAGGTTTACTGTTTAAACAAACCATTCACTTTCTCACCTAGCCTCCTGTTTCTCCCCCCTGTCCTAAAATGCTGCTTTTATGGATCCCAATTGTAGAAAAGCTGCAAGTTCCTCTTCACTTTTCTTCAAATACCGGTATTCTTCAAATATTAAAGATCTGTGCTTTCCTTCTGTAACTTTGTCTGTGCAGGGAGCCCAGCCAAGGGAACTACCCTTACAGTCTCTGGGGAAAAGGTGACCTTAAAACAGCTCCAAGTGATGAAAAATGTTTCTAGACTTTATACTGGCCTGTCACCTCAGGTAGGAGTGCAGGAAACAGTTACTTTAATCAGCAATCTACAACCCTAAATA